TCAAAAATGATGACAGTTGATTTAAGGAGAGACTGTCCCTAAAACCTTTCCGGTATACTTAACAAAGAAAAACAGGATGGAAGTAGCTAAAGGAATCCAGTAAACCAGATCGAAGGAAGCCATATCCACTATCCATGAATGTATAACAATTTGCATGAAGTATGTGTATCGATATTTAAAACAAAACAAATCGGTCATCAGTTTTCTGATATCCATGAGTCCGTTAATATGATACCGATGTGTTTGTCCTAACGCATTGTGTTGGTACAGAACGGATTATCAGTATCTGTTATCTCATGGGGTGTTGGCATTCTCAAGGGTAACGTAAATTCACAGGCATCGACATCAATCGATTGAGCCATACAGTTAATACTGTTACATGTCAAGCACTTCGTACCTTTGGGACGGGTGTGGACAGTTATGGTAACGTCACATCGTGGAACAGTGCTGTTTGGTATACTCTGGGAATGGATTGACGCCAGGGAGACGTAGATTTACTTAACATGTACTTATATAGGTATAGGTATACACCCACACTGATAAAAAGTATACCGTAACAGTGATACAGAGTGTACATTTCCATTGATACACAGTATACATTGACATTGATACACAGTATACATTAACACTGATACACAGTATACATTTACACTGATACACGGTATACATTTACACTGATACACAGTATACATTTACACTGATACACAGTGTACATTTACACTGATACACAGTGTACATTTACACTGATACACAGTATACATTAACACTAATATACAGTATACATTTCTACTGATACACGGTATACATTTACACTGATACACAGTATACATTTACACTGATACAGAGTATACATTAACACTGATACACAGTATACATTTACACTGATACACAGTATACATTAACATTAATACACAGTTTACATTTACATTGATACACAATATACATTTACATTGATACGCAGTATACATTTACACTGAAATAAAGAAAAAAATATCATTTACATTGACGCAGTATACATTTTTAGTGTGGCACAGTATACATTAACATTAATACACAGTATACATTAACACTGATATACAGTATACATTTACACTGCTACAAAGTATACATTTACACTGCTACACAGTATACATTTACCCTAGTATACAATATACATTAACACTGCTACACAGTGTACTTTTACCCTAGTATACAATATACATTAACACTGCTACAAAGTATACATTAACACTGCTACACAGTATACATTTACCCTAGTATACAATATTCATTAACACTGCTACAAAGTATACATTTACCCTAGTATACAATATACATTAACACTGCTACAAAGTATACATTTACCCTGGTATACAATATACATTAACACTGCTACACAGTATATATTTACCCTAGTATCCAATATACATTAACATTGCTATTCAGTATACATTTTCCCTAGTATCCAATATACATTAACACTGCTACACAGTATACATTTACCCTAGTATACAATATACATTAACATTGATATTCAGGTGTTATTTAGAGTTATATAATTTATACACTTACATTGATATACAATATTTGCCTGAATTTTATTTATGTATGTATTTATTCACTGTATACTCTTATATTGATACACAGCATCCTTTAATCGGTAAACGAAATAGATAAATAACTGCTTTCTGAGATCATGCTTTTAGTTATTATGTTATGTTGATACACTGCATACTTTCATACTGAAAACTCCTATATGCAGTTTACTCTTAAAAAAGTGTGCTCTATACCTGAAACATTGTAAGCTTTTGATTAATTTTTGCAAACAATATATTGCGTTATATTAGCTTGATTAAAATAATATCTTTCCCACTGTTACATTCCATGTTACTCCTCACTTTGATGACAACTGAAATTGACTCATTGTAACTCTTCACACTCAAATGCAACTCGTTACAAATATCAAAAGTGAAAAAAACTGTTCTTCCTACATTCACTGCATCATAATCCACAAATTCTTCTGGTCAAATGTAGAGGAAGCGACGGAAGAATATAAGGATGTTTTGGTACAAATATACAATATACACGAAGAGGAGTTACAACGAGTCCGTTTATGGTTATTGTCATTGAATAGAGTTGCATTGAGTCAGAAGAGTTACATTGAGTCAGAAGAGTTACATTGAGTCAAAAGAGTTACATTGAGTCAGAAGAGTTACATTGAGTCAGAAGAATTTCACTGAGTCAGAAGAGTTACATTGAGTCAGAAGAATTACATTGAGTCAAAAGAGTAACATTGAGTCAGAAGAGTTACATTGAGTCAAAAAGTTGCATTGAGTCAGAAGAGTTACATTGAGTCAGAAGAGTTACATTGAGTCAGAGGAGCTACATTGAGTCAGAAGAGTTACTCTGAGTCAGAAGAGTTACATTGAGTCAGAAGTGTTACATTGAGTCAGAAGAGTTACATTGAGTCAATTTACGGTTGTCATCAAAGTGAGGAGTAACATGGAATCAGTTAATGGTTGTTACAAAGAGGGGATACAATGAGTCTGCTTATAGTTGTCATGGATAAGAACTACAATGATTTTACTTTCTTTACTTTATGATATTTAAAATGCTTTAACTATTTACGATGTCATGGATTCTAAGTGACCTATATAATTTGCTGGAGTAATTCGGACACACTTTGATGGGTGTCACATGGGTATACCCTACATATACACATGGTTTTTCCTCTGGTGGTTTCTTTTCGCTGTCATCTCAGTTCCTGTAATTGTTTTCATCGTGTTCCATATGTGTCATTGTAATTTGAAATCATACTTCGATTTATTGCTTTATAACACCGTGCCATTTTAGCCAGATAAGAGTCCAACCTTTAAAACAGGTCGGAGCTGAATTCGACGTTGATTAAAAAGACTAACATTCGTTGCAAGTTTTGAAATATTTAATAACATAAGTTTATTAATTACATTAACAGCAGCAAATCAACAATAAGTAAAGTAATAAACAATACAAAACATCATGTCTGAAATAGAGTTGGTGTCTTGTAGTTTTTAACCCCCCCCCCCCCCCCACTACATTTGTTCATAAAATGCACAAATGTTATATTATGCTACACATATATAGAATGTAAAAGAATCACATAACACGTTTTATGATTTGACAAAACTAAAAATAACTAAGAAACAAAGAAACGTACAAAAATAAAATAACAATAATACTACAGATAAAAATAAGGCATACATAGTGTTCGCAGTGGCGTCACTATTTAGTTTCTGTTATATTGTGTCATTATGACAAGATTGTGCGGTTATATTTGATTGTCTTTGTTCTAAACGCAAGGGAAGGAAAATCATAGAAACAGTTTTCAGTGTCATTAAACTGTTTTACGTTAATACCACATTAAGGTCAATTATATAAATCACTTGTATTTTCATAATTATACACAAATTCAAATTCAGAATAAAACAAGCATTAAATCAATTTTAACTTCATTAACATCTAGTCATAGTAATTTAAACATTAACAACAAGTTAACGAAGATTTAACTATCTTTACAAAAATAATGAAATATTTACTTAAATAACATGTAGAGAGATTCAATATTATCACCCATCTCAGGACTCGTGCAAACTCAGCAATTCCAGACATTTTCTCAGAAATGCAATTTTGAAAATTCCATATATGAACCATTAATCTAACCAGGCTTTGGTCTGATGAGTCCAGATACCAATATAACTATCATTACTTACGACTCTGTGACAAAATAGAAAAAAAACTATGGTGGGTTAAATATACAATGAAGTCCTGCGGAGCTGTGCGCTTAAACATCCAAACACACATTTACCTTCATTGAATGGAAGTATCGAGTACAAAACTTAATTGCTTTGACATTTAACTAAAAATCTCCGAATTTGTTATAGTAATAGTGAAAATATCACGGTTCAAGCAAGCTTACTTCATGTTAACATTGGCGTTCACAATGTCAGGTGGATTTGCGCGTTATTTAATTGATGTTATAACTCAAGAAAGAAAATCGAAAAATTAATATGTTAACTTTAATCATATATGGTGAATAACATACCGCTTCTTGCTATGTTTTGAGTCTCTCCTTTGATGGAGTATTTTCAAATATTGTCTGTTTTGAAACAATAATTCGTTAAATACTATTAAATAGTGGAGGGATATGTTTCTTCAAAACACCATAACGGGTCAACAAGGAAAGCAGGATCGAGGGAATTAGCATTAAAAAAACAGTGGATGACAGCATCGAGCCCTTTCTAGATTATAAAATATCAAATAATAATACGACTTTATGTCTTCAACATTTCTTTGTCGCGCACTACAGCTGTAAATTAACTGGTTTATTAATTGTAGCATTATGACTTGTCAGTTCATTTAAAATGATACCTGCAATTACAAATTTCATCAAAACAATAGGCCAGTAAAGGAAAGGGAAAATACACGTGGTATTTTTTCTATATTCTAACTAAGCATTGCAAATAACGAACCTATGCTATCGACATTTCCTAAACAGCATAATGAAGATTTTTATAACTATACAGCCATTGATGAGTTGCTGTAGGAGTAGACATTTTCGCATGTGAAAATGTTCACATTGGAACTCTTTAAAATTAGAATGGTAAGTATTTTTCGCTATGGCAACGGTTCTTAACTGTATTTATCCTATAGCTCATCTATCTGTTGATAACGTTTTAAAACTATTTTTACATTTTCGCGTGTGGATATTTCGCGTGCATTTATATAACGCAGAAACCGCAAGCATTTCCACTTTTACTTAAGCAATCAATGTTTTAGCAAATGTTGTTATGGTCCTATTACACACATTGCTGACGATGTCAAACCTAATAAAATAGGGCTTTATGTAAGTTTGTCAGCAATAGAAATATGTGTTATAGGACAATAACAATATTTGGTAAAATATTCGTTATTTATATTTACAGTTTGATAGAGTAGTTACGCTTTATTTAGTTTTTTCGAACAGTTCTTTGTAAAGCAAATTAAGTCTTGACAACAATGAAATTTGATGACGTCACAATAGAGATTGATAACGTTACAAAAGCAAATGTTGTTATTGTCTCATAACAACAGTTGCCTCCTCAATGCATTGCAATGGAAGGATACAGAGCAAATGTAATTATAGAATATTGTAATACTGAATAGCTTAGTGGAGAAATTTAAGAGCTTTTGCACATTTAATAAACCAACCTCAAAAAGTCTACAACATTTATCACAATACAGCTAACTTTTCATTTACTTAATTGGTTAACAGTATGTAATTTCATCACTAGATACATTCAGGGATTTCTTGTGAATTTTACGACGACATAATGTGTATGCATAACTTGAACTAGATAGATCCCGATAAGTGTATACGTACAATGTAATTCTTTATTCCAATTAACTCATATCAGGATCAACAGTTAAGGCTATATGCTACCTTAAACATTGTATATCAGGTGATTATTAATGGCTTGTTGTACTATGTAACAATAAGTCTTAACGTTATGTCACCAAAGCCTGCGTCCGTGTTCACCTGTCACTTGTGTCTCAAAGCCATGGGAAGCTGCAGATGACCATCAATAACAGATATTTACATGATATTTGCCATTTTAGACCTTCTGGCCCAGGATGCGCAAAGGTTGGGTAATTTTTACCAGAGATTAGTAAAATTGTTGTCAATTAAAAAACAGAATTTTCAAATCAGAATACATCCGAAAAACACATTAATCTAATACGTTTCAACCAGTTTATAGCAGTGAAAAGATATAAGCTTTGCTCGGTTTTGGTGTATTTAATTGACTTTTCCCTAATCACTGGTTTACTATTACCAAGCTATGTCCAACCGGGACCTGATGGCTATCGCTGATAACACTATATCAACCATGTGCTAACTTTGTCGGTCAGTGTTGCTTTACGAAGCTTTAAGATTACACAACACATCAAAACACTGAAGAAATCTCCACAAAATATTACGCAGTTTTGTCGAAAGAGGACATTTATGGAATTTGTCCCCGATGTTATCCCCCTCATGTCTCGGATGGTCTCCATGACGGCATAACAGAAAGGTGCAATTTTACAAAATATACTTATCGATGAAACCACCAGATGACCCAAATTGGCACTTATCATTTGGTAGTACTCTTTGTAAAAGGAGATAAAAAGCTACAAGGAAGCACATATCTTTAATTAATAGTTGACATGGTTACTGCATCAAGGACACCCTCATTTTGAGTTTGTATACGTTCATGTCACAGTGTACCAAGCTCCACTCTTCACATACAATTTACCTCATAAACAAATGTTACTTTCTACACTGTCCTCTTCTCTCGTCAACGGTTTGAACACTTACTACATAGGTAACACAGCGACGTCTTTATAAGCAGTTTACACTCGGCCCTAAATTTAGCATTAAACCCATTATAGATCAAAGGGTTCAGAACGCTACTTAATAAATATGTTCGTAAGAAAAGTTGATACAACACTTTGCCGACGATGGACGCGTTTTGGTATAAGAATACTTTTACATTACTTAGCCTCGTTATGGATATGACAGAGTAAGGCACGAATGATATGATGAACACTAAAGTAACGACAAAAAGCGTTGTGGTTGTTTTCCCGGTTCTGTATCGGCGTCCTGTGACGTAACTTCCGCTTGAGGATGAAAACGTCTGACTAAATGCCGATGGTCTAGGACTGATGGACAACGTGGGACTTCGACTAGGACGTAATGGTTTGGATTGATTCAGAGATTTGGGATTCTCCATAGTATTCCTTCTTAAATTCTCAACACTGTTATATTGTTTGGTATTAAAACTATTGGATCTCCATATAAATTTCCCTTTCTTACATTTACCGTTCTTTATCATTAGATTATCTGCCAGATATAAATCCTCGCACACACTAGAATTTGACATGGCACTCGATCTTCTGACCGGTCCAAATCTATCTAACCCGTTCTTGCCGCTGGATTGATGAGCCATTATATGTCGACCTATGATAAAGTACAGAACCGCTAAAACTGTGTCGTATACTAGATTTGAACATAAAACATACCATGCAAATATAGTTGTATATATTGAGCCTACATACTCATTTGCATATAGACATGTCTTTTGTTCCGGTTTGTATGGATTTGTAAACGTTCCGTATATGAACAGCGCTGGCCACCCAGTAGTGAAGGCAAGAATAACAGCTCCGGCACTTATACATTTTGCTGTTCGAATTTTCATTGGTCGCATTTTCGACCAATAGCAGATCCCCATAAGTCTGTCCCATCCTATACCTACCAGAACCGTAGCGGAAGCGCTGTTCATGGAGAACGTTAAAAATCTCGACACCTTACACAACACTGGATAGTCGAAGTTGTGGAAGTTAGACAGAAGAGCAATCTCCGTTGGAAGCGAAACAAGGTTGTTGATGAGATCAAACACAGCTAGAGCCAGGATGAACACGCGGGACGTTTTCTTGGTCCATTTAAAGTAGTAAATATAGCAGACAAAAAGGTTTCCTGGTACACCAACAACAAATAGAATACAAACATACACCATCACGGGAATCAGGTGGTAGTTATTTATATCCTCGAGCATTGGGAATCCCCGTGACCCATTGCTGACGTTGCCAACAGAATGGGACGACATACTTGAAATGTCAGGATATTCCGAGTACAGAATGGTGACATTTTCCATGTGTTCCATCGATGTTACCATGATGTTTCTTTATGGAGTGTAAAATTCCTTATCACCAACGAACTTTATATGTAATGGTGTTGAATCAAACTAGTCCATGGAAGTCTGAATGGCAAGACGTGTTCCCTTTTTTTAAGGAAAGCGTGTGGCGTTTGATGGCATAACACCTATAACAACTACAAAATGTAGGACCGGATGTTCACTATATATATATACATATATCTTTTCCGAATCATGCAAAAAAGTGATGTTTTCTTTGGACCTGAATATGTTTGACGTGTAAAGCCCACAACACAATACACATTATCTAAACTCCTTCCCAATCATATGGCTGAGAATGGTTCGCTTTGATTTGCGACCGCTAGATAGCACCGTCCAATATTCTAATGCATTACATCACACTCGAATCAATCTGGATTCCGTAAATATCACGATCTCCAATCTGGACCCTTAATGAGTACGGTACCACCGCGTGACATTTATCGATGAATCAGTCTGTCTCGGACGGCACGTGACGATGAAGCTCTCATAGATGCATATATATCCTGAAATAGAAAGAATAAATATGAATAAACCTTATCGATTTATATAGGAAAGAGCATAACTGGGATATTAACAGCCTTTCCGTATACGTTTGGCTGTGATGTATCTGCTTTCTCGGTTTACGTAGTGATACATTATGTTAGAGATCGGCCCCGATAGGTACGAACACGATATATCTCGTTAGGCGAGTTTACTCAGTCTCCGTATCATTACCGTGTAAAGCGCGGCGTTTAGTTAGCTTAGGAGTGTTGCACTGTCATTACTTAATTTTCACAAGTAATTAAATGCCAGGTTATACGTGTTCGCAAGAATTTTAATTTCCGAAATGAAACATAACAAAATGTTACAATGGATTTTAGTTTAAACTGTTTTGAGTGTTTTAATTATTAAGTCAACCTTGCTTTAGCAAGTTAGCTATTGCTGAGATAATTAACGAAAATGGATATTCATAGAATTTTTCAAAATGATTTTAAATACACTAGAGTAATCATTCTACCACACAGATACAACAAAATAGCTGTCACCCGTATTTTTAAAGACGATATTTTAAACGGAAACCGATGTATATTATTGAAGTATTATCGTAGTTCTGACACCCTTCGTTACAAGCAAACGTTTTATAATAGTCCATATTAATATTTGCATATATATGATCATGTGGAAATAACTATCAATATTAATATTAAAGACATACACGGAATAAAATATTATTCATTTTATTTTTAGAATTCTTTTTCCAAAATCTATGGTTTGATGTGTCTTGATATTGAAAACACACAGATTTTTTTTATTCGCAAATACGTTAACATTAGGTCAAGGAAACTAACAATGCTGTTTATACATACTAACTCATCAACAACCCAATCATCTTTAAAGACACCAATTTATCAAATATAACCGTTAGGGATGAAAAAGACATAACCAACTCCATGGTGATAGTTAAAATGGCCATTAATCTGATTGAGTGATTGATCAAGGCCCCGCTAGAACGATGGGTAATATTGATTGGCTTTGCTCATTAACTACGTTCTGTGATAACAACATACACGGACTGCTGCTAAAGACTAGTTAGGCTTATAAAACATACACGGATAGAAAGACTTTTCTTCCTTAATTCGGGAGTAAGTTATGGGCCTCTGCCCGTGTCCAAGTACAGAGAACCACCAAATTTTCCTATTAATAGTCTCGTACGTAGGACCTGCAGAGCAAGATACTTGATGGCTCTATCAAATGTCCAAAGACACATTAGACCATCGGGGTCTGAGCTCTGACCGTTGGTTCATCAAATTGTCACACCTTGATAGTTACTCAGTGGTCCAGCACAAAGAGCCTGCCATAGATGACACCTTGATAGTTACTCAGTTGTCCAGCACAAAGAGCATACCATATTTTTTACATGAAAGTTACAGTTCATAGATCCAACACGGTTGGAGAATTGATAGTTTTTTTCAAATGGCAGGATACATATAAGACCATAAGACCATTAAGATTTGAGCTCTGGCAATCGGTTCATCACGGCGATCCGATACGTGCATCCTCAATACTCCAAGGGTCACGATCACTTTCGCTATCTGCAACCCTGGAACAAGTCATAGAAAGATTGAAGGCTCAGTGTGCCACGAGGATGCGATACGCGAGACTACTTACAATGAGGCCTTAATGGTCTATAAGCCATAAATGTGTCGTAGTAGACAGAACAACCATGGTTTAGGCCTTAACAGTTTCTCAGTGGTCAATTCATAGCGCAACCACAATGGTATAAACATAAATGGTCAAGTACATAGGACCTCTGTACTACTAATAATAATAACAATAATTCGAGGTTCTTTTTTACCGTTTGATCACAATATAGTTTGTAGGTCATCTCAAAGCGGTTCACAAAGTATCATCCGTGGTTAAAGGGTCTTTGCAACAAGCCAATATCTTTCTCAACTCCATGGGGAGCATACAGCCAGTGCTGCCACTTCAGCGCTCACAGCTAGCATTCAACAATTCTAGCACTGCCCAACCACGTACTCATTTACAGCTGAGTAGACTGGAACAAGCGGAGTAAAGTATCTTGCTCAAATATATACAACACAGTGTCGTGCCGTGCCTCGAGCCCGCAACCCTTTGATCACGAGCCCGGTGTCCTACCACTAGACTACCGTACCTCTATGATAACGACCTTTGGGGTTAAGTATTGTTTTTTTGTTACGGGTAATAAAGAACTTGGTTGCACCTAAATAACACCTTAAATTTGAATTGGTTGTGGGTTTCATATATACGTACTTGACTCTCGGGATTAGGGTCCCGGTGGTTATTTCATCGTAGTGTCCCAATAAACATATCTTATTAAGCCAAAGAAATAAACAAAAAAAAAGTGTATCGACTCATAATATTATCAGGTTTGGGAGCTGACAGTTACACATGTCTCAGCCCGCAAACATACCATGGTTTAGACTTTGATTGAAAATGGAAACAAATATAAAGAGCCATCAAATTTTATTTGGCGTTTGAAAGAAATTTGAGTCTTCATTTATTGTGGTTATTATGTATACTGTCGATAGTCGATAGCGTGGAGTAACGTATTGTTGTTTAAGGTAAATATTAAATCCGTGTTATCGTCACAATCAATTCAATACATGCTTTATGAGTTGATATTGCAAAAGTATATATTTGTATACAATTAGTACATCATGACGCATCCTTGCTGTACAAGTAGTTTGAATTTAGGTCTCAATACCATCATGCTTTTGATACTACATTTATAGTCCAAAGCACATACATCCTTTCATTTAAATGCAAATAGATATTATAATAGATAAATAATCACCATTCCAAGTTCTCTTTTAGTAGATGTATTATATTATGACTACATGTAACATTAGCATGGGTTAACAAGTCGCGAATATGTCCTTCTCGAACCGCCCGGGTCTGTGTGATGTTTCTATCAGCAAACTGTAATTTTACAAACATAGGGAGAAGTTATGTCCATGGTGACATCATCAGTCAGCTCGATTGACATTCATATTTAGCATTACTTGTCATTGCCATTATATCGCTACCGAATTCAAATGGCATTCACATAAGCTATGGTTGCCGTGACCAAATAGTGACATTATCAATATTATGACGTCATCATTGTACATGTAACAATGATAAAACTACACCCCCATCGAAGATGACTGTTCTATTAATTAAACAAGCACAAACAATATGTACACTTGTGTTATTCAAATGCTGAATCGTATAAGTATTAATAATAGTATATACAGGTAATGAACTGCTTTTATTTGGCATTCATCTACAGAACGAATGCCAACTGAAATAATAATGCTTAAATCAAACATATAACAAATAACAGCGAAAACAAACAACTGTCTTAGAACAAAGAAAATTACTCTTCCCTGATATGTACTTTTAAAATACTAAAAACACAAAACGCAATTATGTTGAATTTATATTGCATAAGACGGGCTTATGACTGTTTAACATGTCAATCACCACCTGACACGAAGTGAAGTTCTTTCATCTAAGCATTTGTATTGGCTAAATCAAAGCTAGGTTTTTGTTAAATACGTAGACAAATTAAGATTCACATGGATGAAACAAAAGTTTTCGACACAAAAGTATCAAATCCAAACCCAATGTCAAACCCAAACAAGAGCAGCAACAGGGGAGACATCTTGATTGACTCTAACAACATAAACGAGGCGAATCCAGGAATTCCGGAAGGGTATGCGTTCTCTGCGCCAAAAGTTGCATCCATAATATATTCAACCAATTACAGTGTCGGTTATCAACCATCTAAGACACAGTCATCAGTCTATTTTCCTGATAAACAGACATTTCATTAAATGAGGTATGTAAACAGTAAATACTCTTTGCCGTGATTTAAGCCTGGTACTTCAATATTCCCATTTAGGACCATAATTAATATTATTTATTATTCAAGAACATAACGATGTTATCATTTCATTAATTGTATAATCATACTAAATAAAACTTTCTCACAACCAAAGAATACTTACCGTTATATAGCCCTCCTTACAGAACTTCTATAGAAAACTTGTCATACACATCCTTCCAATATATACAAGCCTGCACATAACAACTGACTCCAATAGCCAATACTTGATAGAAATATCCATCATCCTGCACGCCATATCGGAAACATTCTGACTGGGACGGAGCTAAGTGCACTCTGACTTTATAAACAGCGATTATATTGTTAGCTGATGAATTGCACAGCACCGATAGATGTGCATTCCCCGCGTACTCATTATAACCCACTTTACACTAGTGGGCCGTTCAGGTAGGTGTTGTTCGCGAACAGTTGTCAGTGGTACCAAGGTAGTGATCCGGCCATATGGTTTGATTACCGCATCCATTTAACAAATTATTGCTCGATAGAAAAATTAGTCGTTATTCAAGGATAATTAGGTACCTAGTTTGAAAGTCACAGTTTATTGATAAATTATCATTAAACATAAACGTTTCTATTATATTAAATAATTAACATTTTAATGATTTATAACAAGGTATTATCCAAAACACATGAACACTTTATATTTTATATTAGTTATTAGTTCAAACATATAGTTTCACTTAAAATGAAAGTGCAGACTCGATTCGTGAAATGAGTTGGCGATAGACGTCATTATGTGGGATGCCATTTGCTCACATGTTTACACATTAATGCACTGACAGGCAATGCGTCATATACTGCGACCGAAGTTGATTTCCCTGGGGAAATGGTACAGCGACGGTGATACTTCCTCTGATTTACCTAATCACTATCAGTATTACTGTAACCATCATCGAATTGCCTTGAACCAAGTTGTCATTCGTTTACTAATGATACATTATGTAAGATACTTACACCGCCTTGAACCAAGTTGTCATTCCATTGCTAATGACATATTTAAGATTTAATTATTCGAAAAACGTGTGTATTGGTGAGAAAATGTTCAATTCATATCATCCGGGAGTGATCAGGATTCATGCCATGCTAATCTTG